TCAGCGCAGCGGTTCATCTATGGTTGCGGGACAAAGCCGCTAGTCGGCTAGCGCCAAGCAGCCCACTTCGCCCGCTGAACGTCGATATGCACAAGAGTCACCCAAATTTCGAGACGCCGCCCGCCACATATAAGCCGACACACCACCCCGCCTCCACACACCCATCACAAACATGAGGCCTATTCTTCTCTCCGGTCACGAGCGTGCGCTCACGCAAGTCAAGGTTCGCATGCGCCGTGCGTAGGATGAGGGACGAGGAAACTAATGGCATACAGTACAACGCAGATGGAGATATCATTTTCTCCGTATCCAAGGTACGTTTTTCTCCCGTCTTCTGAGGCGCGGAAACTGATTTTTGTAGGACCACGTCGTTTGCGCCTGGTGTTAGTAAACAACCTGTACAAGAGGAATGCGAATAGAAGCTGATGCGGTGCAGACTCACACAACGGCGAGCGAATCGGAACATACCACGGACATCAGGGAGCGCTATGGACGGTCGACGTAAACCCATCCTCTGAGCTACTGGCTACCGGTGGAGCAGACAACACCATGAGGTTATGGCATGTGCAGACAGGCAAGCTTCTCCACACCTGGGAATTCAACACCAGTATCAAGCGCTGCGAGTTCTCCCCAGACGGCAGACAGCTACTTGGTGTCACCGAGAAGCGATCAGGACATCTCTCCACCATCTGCGTCTACCCCATCAACCCCGACCCGGAGGCGCAACAGTCGGACGAGCAGCTGCTCAGGATCGTATGCGACGAGTCCAAGGCGACAGTCGCTGGCTTCTCATACCTCGCAAAATACATCATCAGTGGACACGAGGACGGCTCAATAACCCAGTGGGATGGCAAGACTGGAGAACTGCTCAGCTCCAACTACGACGTTCATGAGCCAGACATGCAAATCAGTGAGTGTCATGCACACCTCTTTGGCTGGAATGGAAGCTAACAGTGCGCAGCCGACATCCAATGGGCTCCCGACCGAACCTACTTCATAACCGCCAGCAAGGACAAGACCGCGAAGCTCGTCGACGTCGAAGAGCTCAACGTCCTCAAATCATACGTTGCCGACACACCCCTCAACTCCGCCGCGATCACACCTGTAAAGGACTACGTTATTCTTGGTGGAGGACAAGCAGCCATGGACGTCACCACAACCTCGGCACGTCAAGGAAAATTCGAGGCCCGTTTCTACCACAAGATTTTCATGGAGGAGATTGGTCGTGTGCGTGGTCACTTCGGCCCCCTCAACTACGTCGCCGTACACCCACAAGGAACCAGCTACTGCAGTGGAGGAGAGGACGGTTACGTGCGTGTGCACCACTTCGACAAGCCATACTTTGACTTCATGTACGAGGTTGAGCGGGAGGTCGCGCAGTCGCAGTCGAACTTGTAATAGTATGACCTCACGAAGAATGGTTGATATGGTTCAATATGGCTGCATGCATGCATTGGCGTTCCGGCGGTCGGGTTAGGTGCTTGTCAAGATTAGACGAGCCTTTGTCAAAAGTTCATGAGCGATCAGGGCACATATAGACACTTTATCTAAGTGTCCGAACACATGTACCTCATCAATGAAAACTTCAAGCAATATACTGATGCACATTTCCATTGTGTTTATATATGTCCCGCCCCAAGCACCAGCGCCTGCCCATAAGGAGCAGACACCCTAGCATTCGGTCAAAAGTACAAGCAAAGGGCTTGGAACGGGTTGGTAGCTGATCTTCCTGCTTTTGACAAACGAGTCCATCATCGAGAAGGAAGGACGACGTATACTGAAGAGGTTGTAGGTACACAGAGTACCAAAGGATAAAGACGCGTCGATGCTGCTCACTCCGTCGAGCGCAATGTGAGACGCGAAAGAAAAATATTTGTCAACCACCTATGATCCAAACACAGCGGCTGGCTTGAAGGACTGGTAGCTAACAACGACGTGACGCACAATGAGTGCGCTCGTATTAGCCGTCGCAAACGAACGTTGAATGTAGTGATTGTTCGGTGAAAGAAGGGCGGAAGAACAGTGAAGGGCTGAAGCGATCGTGGAAGCTTCGAGAGACCCTGTCCTAAGCGAGTTTAGCGCGTGGCGGTGACCTCACCTGCCGCTCCGACTCATCGCGGTCACACATTGCTCTTTGGGCCTCTACATAAGCAAAAGCTCAATCCTCTCTACTACAAAGCCCTTCGCATCCACATTACATTTCCTCTCTTCCAAGTTCGCCGTCTGACAAACTCATCGACGAACAATCACCCATTTCAAGAGGACACCCCACATCTGCGCCCAACTCAGCCTTCCGCACCCGACAACCACAACCTCAAGCCCTCTACTCCTCAACACCACATTCAAGATGTCTGACGACTGGAACTCCGTTACCAAGATCGGCAGCCGCACTCGTGGTGGCGCCGCCGGACCCCGCGAAACCGTAGTCAAGGGCAAGTCAGCTCTGAACGCTGCCCAACGTAGCGGCGGTATCGTCGCCACAGAGAAGAAGTTCGCTTCTGCCAACGCCGTGAGTACTCCTTACACGTCCGACTTAGTTTAACAACTTCGTTCTTCGTGATGCCCAAAGTTCACTCAAAATAATACTAACCGACCAGCCACAGGGAGCTTCGTCAGAAGGCCAGCGCCTCACCAAAGTCGACCGTTCCGATGACATCGTCAAGCCCAAGACCGTTGGTATCGCCGTCGGCCAAGCCATCGCTAAGGCGCGCTCCGAGGCAAAGAACGACAAGGGCACAACTATGACACAAAAGGATCTGGCTACAAAGTGCAACAGCACACCCACCATCATCGCAGACTTTGAGCGCGGCACAGCAACACCAGACCAGAAGCTGCTAGGAAACATGGAGCGCGTGCTTAACGTCATCCTACGGGGTGACAAGATGGGGCAGCCCAAGTTCCCAAAGAAGAAATGAGCGGGTCATTGCTGAGGTCGCAGACCGGGCGCAAGTACACGCTCAGGTTGCGATATTGCGATGCATTCCGCTTCTAAAAGGTAGCTTCGGCTGCGATAAGTCTCTTCTGAATTAGCGGGCTTGGGATGGGCGTTTGATGGACATCACGGTAGAATACCACAATGGTGGACAGCGTACGATAGCTACGGCCTAGCCTGTACTGCGCGGGCTTTGTAGCTCAGTCTCATTGAGCAGCCGTAGAAACTAGATAAAACTACGATCTACGCGCAAGCAATACGTTGCCTCTGAACATGCAATTGACGTCATCGAAGTTACATGATGCGCAGCATCGCACTAAATCTCTCAGTTGTATCCTCGTATGCGGCGAGCGAATCTCCACCCTTTAGACCCCGATGCTAGACAGATTTGAGTGCACCGACATGTGTATCGTAGTGCGGCCAAGTACATGATTGGCTCGTGCTAGCTAGCGACTCACCGTTACCATCAACAGCCCGCAGCCTGCCTTCACGACACAGCATTAACATGACCCCGTGAAGCCCTTCCATATTATGCTCATACCCTCATACTCGCACAAAGCAAGAATCTGTGGTGTCGGTATCCCCATGTAAACAAGCTGCCCATTCTAGCCCTACTGCGCCTTCCAACTTCACCTGCGCACTTTCCTACGAGAGTGCCTGCGCTAACCTCTCCCAGACCCATCGTCTTTCTCTCTATCCTCCTCATCTTCTTGTTGTACTTCAGCATGAGTACTACAGATCACACTTCCACGGTTCCTGTCCCGGCAGAGCCGGCGTTGGACTACCACTTCAAGTACACCGTGCAGAAGGGCATTTTCATGCAGAGCGAAGACGAGACTGATGACAAGAGTTTTGATTTCGTATGTTCCACTCTTATCTTCGATATTCTGCACGCAACCATGCATTTCGCGATACCGCTATATCCCGTCGCTTCATTCACATCATTCGGATTTGGCATCCAAGGTAGCTGGCTAACATCCATGGCAGAAGACACAAAAGTTTGGTTTGATCGATCGTTCCTACCCGGGAGAAGATGGCAGCGAAGAATTGCAATGGAAGCGTCTTGAGAAATACGTGGCTAGTCTGGAAGCCACTAAGAAAGAGGGCGAGAGCTACAAAGTACTCTTTCTGGGTCGTCATGGTCAGGGTTGGCATAACGTTGCAGAGACAAAGTATGGGACAAAAGCTTGGGACGTAAGTTCAATCCGCTTTACAACCCTTCCCTTTTCGTGAATCATCCCTCTCCAGACATGTGCCATCAAGGAGACATGACGCTAACATAAACACCAAGTGCTACTACGCCGCCCTCGACGGCTACGACGGCATAACCTGGGCGGACGCAAACCTCACCGCTGTAGGCCAAGACCAAGCTCTCGCTGTGAACAAGCTGTGGGCCGAACAACTTCCCTTCGGCATCCCACCCCCACAGACATACTACGTCTCACCCTTGACCCGTACAATCGAAACGGCAAACTTGAGTTTCAAGTCCCTTCCTCTTCCCGAGTCACGCCCTTACAAACCCTTCATCAAAGAGCTCGTCCGCGAAGCCCTCGGCGTACACACATGCGATCGCCGCAGCACAGCCGCGCACATCAAAGCCACCTTCACGGATCCACCTCTCACTTTCGAACCTGGATTCTCAAACGAAGATCTCCTCTGGGAAGCTGGATACCGGGAACCGAGGTCTGCAAGACGGTATCGCCTAGCCACGTTCCTGGACGATGTTTTCGCTACCGATGACAATGTGTGGTTGAGTTTTACTAGTCATTCGGGAGCGATTGGCAGTATGCTAGAGGTGCTTGGGCACAGGACGTTTGCGCTTGAGACGGGGGGTGTTATACCGGTTTTTGTCAAGGCGGAGAGGGTGCAGGGGAAGAGGGAGGTGCCGCCTAAGGAACCTAGTGCTTCGCCGCCGTTGTGTGATGGACCGCCTCAGTAAGATCAGAAAGGGGCTCTGGAGCAGATTGAGGAATGAGAGGATCGGCAATCCTATACTCTGATCGGTGACATGTAGGGTAGTCTAATCTGATAACTTCATCACAACCGAATCGATTGTTCACGGTTTGCTATGTCACGCGTGTACTTCACGACGTACTTCGATTGCCAGGATAGCACAAATATTAACGAAAGCGCATAAAAGAACACAGTCTGCTCTCATATCCCCGTCTCATCGATTACCATCTACCGATTTCTCAGCAGCAAAAAAAATGTCCACCCCGTCCCCAATAAAACGAGACCCCTCCTGGTCCATCGACCAACTCAGAGCAAACTACGACATCCTCTGGAACGCGTACTCTGATCGTTACATGCCGCTTGATGATGATAGGAGTGAAGAGGATAAAAAGAGGATTGCCGAGCTTGAGACTTTGGTAGAGGATTTCAAGAAGAAGGACGAGGCCAAGCTTGAGGAGCAGAAGAAGAGCGAGGCGCGGAACAAGGCATCGATTGAGTCGCAGAAACCATACGAAGGAGACCCACACAATCTCTAGATGGAAAGGCTGAACGAAATGCTCGGGGACCTCGAATCATTTCCTGTTAAGTACTGTAATCCTCATGCAGACGTGAAATGAAATGAACCCTTACCGGTGAAGCCAAGCGAGACAATGGACAGTTAATGATGTGTTTCATTTGATCATAGGTATAGCTTAGGCCATCGTGCCGAGATCGACTCCTGGTACCGTACCGAAAAGTCCCAGCAGTTTCACCTCCTGCAAACAATACACGTGCTGTGCTGATATGTCCACCCCATCCTTATATAGACTCGCTGACAGCCCTCATGAACGCAACCCAGGTTCATTTTCCACTGCGCCCCTAATACGAACAACGAAGCAGACCCAACATTTTATGCAGATGCATCTCGTGAAGTCGTAACAAAGTAAGCGGGAGTCGTTTTACATCATGCCAAGGTCCTCCATGGCTTTGGCGTAGCTGTCCCAATCGGTCAAAGCACCGAGAGCACGACGCTGGTGTGCGCTGAGGAGCGTGAGACCGTAAATGTAACTTGCGTTGACCCATCCGAAGCTGTGACGTGTTAGCCATGAACTAGCAAGATGAGGTGAGAAGAAACATACCCTTCGCGAGGAACACCCTTGAAGTCGCTGCCTTGATTACCGTATTCGGCCTCAACCTTGTGAGGATCAATCTTCCTTGTGACATCGTACTTCTCAACGACAACGCCGTTGAAGTCAACAAATGCCTTGGTGACCATGAAGAGCCAGCGGTAGGCCAGACGCTGGGCTTCCGCATCGTAGCCGTATCGCTGCATACCGACCCAGGCAAGCATCTGCTGTGGCGCCCAACCGAATGGATAATCCCACTGACGGTTGGGGCGGTCAAGTCCAGTTTTGCCGCGCGACTTCTCTGTACCCGAAACAAGTCCTCCGAAGGCTTCCAGCTTAGGCAAAGCCTTCTCGACAAGAATGCTAGCTTGACGCGGAGTGGCGAGACCGGACCACATGGGCCAGAAAGTAGTGGCACTCTCGTAACCGGTGCGTTCTTGCTTGACAGTGTTATAGTCGAAGTACATGCCTGCCTCCTCGTCCCAGAGATACTTGTCCACATTAACGCGGCGTTTTCTAGCGCGGCGCTCCCATGTGGAAGAAGTCTCAATATGACCAGGCTTCATGTCGCCAGTGCGGAATCCCTCTGGAATTTCGAGCTTGTCGTTGAAATGGTTGCGAATGCATCGACCAATGTCGACTTCGTACTTGTAGAGCAGCGCATTGACGTCAACGACGGCGAGGTCTGCTGCGACCCTCTCCAGACGGTAGGAGGTGTCGTGTCCGGATTCACGCACAGCGCGGTCATGTAGGAAATAATCATCAAGCTCGGGCTCGTTGACCTTTCCGTTGTTGTATGCATCTACGAATTCCTTAAATGTCATACCATGCTTGTCGGCATACGGCATCAAGACGTGGTGGAAATGGCTGGCTTCCGTCTCGGGTGGCACACCTCTTCCGCCAGGTCGGTACCTGGTGAGTCCAGTGACAGGGTCTAAGCGCGGCGCGCTCATCCAAACCGAGTGGTATTCCTTGATGGCAGCAAGGATACCGTTGCGCAGGAATTCTTTGGAGTCAGGCTCGTGCTTGATGCGTTCATAGCATCGCAGAGTCATGTCGGTGAGGAACGGTGGCTGGGAGCGGCAGAGGTAGTATGTACGGTTCGCGTTGAGAATCTTGTTGTAGTGCTTGATGCAGAAGCAGAAGTGAATGACCATGGACTTGACCAGGTCGACGCGATCGTTGACGAGGAGACCAAGCGACTCCATGTAGCTGTCCCATCCGTAAAGCTCGTTGAAACGGCCGCCAGGAACGACGAAAGGCAGGCCTCTCAGGTCCTTCTTCTTCGTCTCTGGATCTATCCATTCCTCCATGGCAATGGCGAGCAGGCCGGGTGCCTTGTTCAAGTCGCGCACGTAATCGTCGTTGTCGCAGTCCTTGTCGAGCCAGATGACGTCGAGACGCATTTCGGGGTGTTCACGAGCAATGCGGGTGTAGTACTCGTACTGCTCAGGCGCGCCCTGAGGAATGTATATACGCGGACGCGGGTCGTCTGTCCAGTCCTTGGGGTCGACACCGACCTTTGCAATGTTGGAGCCATCGATGCGGCGGGTGAGGCCGTCCCAGAAGGAGAACTGGATGAGGCGGCTCAGGCGGTTTACGGGGTTCTCGTTCAATCGCGATTCGTCGAGCACAATGGTCTTGCGGCCGTAGTCTTTGGCGAGTGTGAGCTCCTGGAGCAGGTTCGAGAGCATGTAGGTGCCGCGGACGTCGTGCTTCTTGAAGGCATTGGAGCCGAGCGTACCAAGAGAAATGGTCTGTGTATTGTCAGCCATGCTCTCCGTGTTACTGCAGAGCATCGTACCTTGGGGCCCTTGTCGTCGATTGTGATCTGGTAGTTGCCGTCGGAATCTTCGCGGTCGAGGAGCTGGCGGAGCGTCTCCTCGACGTTTATCTTGAAGCGGCGAGGTTGCAGGGAGATTTCATCTGGTCTTGTTAGCCAATGGCGCGGCGTGGGTGCGGTGGAAGGTACGTACCGTGACTGATACGGCGACCAGCAATGGCGCCCTCGGCCAATGGAGCATTACGCGTGGAATTGTCTACGTTCTGCACTCAATTAGCCTCGTCATGGCATTCGAAGGAGGAAGGAGCGCGGTACTCACGGCTGAGTAGGTCCGGGCTCTGGCATGCTTCTTCGAGTGACTCTCGCCATAGTAGACGTGCGGTGCAGCGTATGGGTCGAGAACAGTCGAGGTTCGGCGGGGCTTGGAAGATTGCGAGCTCATGCTACGGGGGCGGTGGGGCGACGACACCAGTCAAGGAGTGTGGTGGTAGGAGGTGTTGTGGTGGTGAAGATGTGCTATGTATGGCGTAGGTACTGGTCAGCGTTAGCTTTGAGGGTGGTTGACGGCGAGGGTGGGGGTGGGGCGGCACCTTTGTATCAAGATGCTTCAGAATCTAGGGAACGGCGGGCGGCGGTCACACGACGATATGCTGGTAGTGCTAGTCTAGGTGGCGGGTGCAGCGTAGGACTGGAGAGAAAAGATGGATATGCAACGGGCGAAGGTAGCAGTTTTGAGCGCTGCAAGGCCGGCAGGTCCGCCGATGGCAGCAGAAGGGCATAGCAGCAGGCGTCAGTGGTGGGTCTGCTATCACGATAGGCAATGACAGACCAGGCGGTGAAGCAGCTGCATCGTGCCAGACGCAGGCGGCGTGACTGCTATCAATGCGACAGCCAGGCGGCATGATGATGCTGAGCGAAGACTGCCAAAGGGCCCCGTGCTGCCCTGAACCCCTGGGTACTTCTTCCTCCTCATCACCGTCGCGACTTGCACGCGCGCGCCGACCTTGGCCGCCTCATCATAGAGCCCCACCAGTACGTCATGGCACGATGTCCTCGTTCGACAATCCGCGTGTTTCGAATCTCATCTGTTGAGCTTCAATGCCTTGTGTGCGGCGCCTTTGTTTTTCTCCTGCCTAACTCCGGACGCACCTTCCTCGAGCGACGCGCCTGCTGTGACTGGCTCGGTTGCCGGGGTCAGGCGCTGCGTGTCCGTCAGCCTGCAGGCCTTCCCCCACGGGAGCCAGCAGTCCGCACTACACCCGCAACTCCATCGTGACCTCCGAACAAACTTACTCTCCCTCTCACTCATAGCTCGAGAGCCAGCTGAGGCTGTCGCCTAATATTACCCCATCAGGTCAGCAGATCTAGATGTCCGTCGACCTGCACTGCATCTGCTGATGGCCGTCTCCGAATCTCATCGAACATGCGACTTTTTCCGTCTGATGTTCACTTCCGGCTCTCCAAGCTCAGCCGTCTGCACGCCGGCCGGTCCTCGGATGCCTACCAGAAGCACTGCACAAGCACACAAGTTGCAAGGTAGGAGAGTGTGGGGGTTGTCAAACGACTCGTCGAGTCTGTCTTCTTTTGATATATACATTACACACTACAAAGTCGTGCTTTTTCGTAGAATTTTGGGTAGTTCGGCCATTGGCATCGTGACAAAAGAGATGGTTGCGCAGTCTTGAATGGTATCCGTAAACCCCAACGCCTTCGCTAACACGCAAGTAGACAAATAAAATGCAAGACCGGCTGGTCGACGTTGATAGATGACTTTTTTTAAACTTCGAGCTTCTTTGCTGCCTGCTTTCGGCTTCTCCTCATGCCTCTCCAGCTCCACTTTGATCCCTTCTCCATTTCTTGCACGGGGACGCCCAGAGTTGATGAGTCTGGTCGTGGCGTGTCGATGTTGCTGCTCCAGCTAGTTGAGGCTGTCTCGAGTGATGTGGCGTTTGAGGCGGTTCTTGACATGTCGACGCTGTACGCGCTCTCGTATGACCTGAGCTTCGATTTTGGTCGTGATGGGAGGGGTTCTTGGAGAGCGAGGAAGCCGGAAGCGAAGCATCCACCGTACGCCTTCAACACCTCCAACGACGCGGCTCTCCTCAAGGCGATGGTCTCTCTTTGGCTTTCGACATTGCCGTCGTCTGACTCGGCAAAGTCACCGTCGTATCGGTAGTAGAGTTGGTCATCCATTTGACAAGCGCTGTCAACCTTTGATATTGTTAGCAGTGAAGCGATGAACTGTTCTCGAGTCAAGACATACCTTCTTGTGTGTAGCGGTGTGTAATTGTAGGTTCTCCTCAGTGAGTTGGACTTGGTTGAAGCAAGTGTCCCAGTTGGGTGTGCGTCCAAGGTTTTGATACATGTTGGCTGGTGGTGGTAGAATGTTCCGATGGGTGCTTTTGATTGTATTGGAGATCGAGGGTCTTGATGTAAGGTTGGTAGTTGCTGCTCTGTTGACTTTGAGTTTGACGGAACCAAAAGGCTAGGGCGCTCAAGTGTTATATACCGAGCGTCACTTGGTATCCTAGCCAGCAATCAGGACGGCATCCACCCCAGCATGCGCCATAGCGCCGCGCTCGCCGATTGACCCCAGGGATCGCGCCCAAAAACGTGGTACATGGCTGCGGCTCTACCGTTTCCGTCA